AAATTCTTATTAAAAGCCTGTGGATAGCGGTTAAGAATTTTCATTTTTCAATGAAAATTGATCTCTTACAAGCTCTTGCAGCATATATTAAATACTACAAAGTTAATAAATTATATTACATTGTTGAAGGAGAGGAAGGTGCAACTAATATTTCCATCAGTGTATATCTTTGAACATGACACCATATACTCTTGTTATGTTCTAGCATTCGAACGTTTTCAAACAATAATGGCTGATCAAGTGCGTGAAAAAACTTATGATATTCTCGATATTCGAGTACGACCTTTACATGGTGTTACAAATCAAAACCATACAAGAAATCTTTTACAAAGTATCGAAATTAATAATCGACGAACAAAAGAAGAACGCTATATTGTCCTAGATTTAAATTCACTTCAGAGTTATATCAATTTAAAGTTTTTATGTTTTCTTCTTGAATATTTTTTGTTATTATTTAGTTTTTCATTTAAAAGATTCAACATCATGGAATGACAACACCACATTACCATTACATTATAATGAGTCTCGTATGTGGAAAAGAGTTTATCTAATTCATGTTTCTTTATATATGCAAAAATTATTCGTGTTTTGCATCTAGGAGGCAGATAGAATTGATATGCGATTTTTTCGATACGGTGGAGTGAAAGTGACATATTTTCTACCGAGATCCGTTCAACCTGTAACATTATTGAAAAGCGCAACAGTCGATTATTCGACAAATCGTTTATCATTACCATTTGTAAGTATTGTTGTAGATACTAGATCTAAAATTTCATATATATTATCAATTTAGTTTGAGAAAAAAGCATTAGCCGATAGTGTTCAATTATTCATGAGAGCTTTGAGGTTACTCAATGAAAAAGGTGCCAACATATCGTTTGATAACAAGTCAGATCATCTTAAAATTCGATGCCGATCCCCATACAAAGCGGTTGAAAAACATAGAATGGGAGAATTACTCTTCGACATTATGAAATCTGTTGGTATCACTATAATATTTCTTGAAAAGTAAATGAAAATAATGTTGTATATCTTAGACTACATTCGAGGGATTTTCTGGACATATTGAATTTAATAAATACGGTGAACGAATTAATTATATATTGGATGTACACCAGATAACAATGAATAAATTACCGAAAAATCTAAGATACTATTTTTATCAATGTAAAGGTTGTTGTCAGTGAATATTGTTTAGATACTGTGCTGTATAATATTTTCTGACTGTACTTTAGGTGGGAAATTTTACAAACGATTTATTTGTGATGGATGATACTGAAGTATTTCAAGGTAGACAAACACATGATTTTGATAAGGGACGAGAGTGGATCATAACAACAATTGTGGTATGTGTATTAATTTTAGAATAAGACTTGTAATAATGCACAATTTTGTTAAGGATGAGCCATTCACAATGATAAATTACACAGCTGCTGGTAATCTGAGAGGGTCAACAGTTGCTGGACAAATTCTATCATTTGATCATTTATACGGTTATTGTGTCTGATATGGCTTTTCTGCTATGAAGCAAGCTTTTCCCAAAATTCTGAAAAGATTTTAGAATTTTTTACACAGGATCGGGACTATCGAAAACTGAAACACCGTCACCGGAACTTATGAAAAAAATTTACGGGACTGAATCGAAGAATAAAATCAAAGCACCAAGAACGAGATCGACATAAAAAACTGATCCCACATATCCCTAACGGCTACACAGTCAATTATAATCGACGATCCTAGACTAAATCAGGGGTGTAACCGGTATCAAAAATGCGATACCGGTCACCGGTATACAAACGTCGTACCGGCACCGGCTTGTCTTGACCATATTTTGCCTAAATAAAAATACTTTTTCCTTCGTTTTCTTTAAGTGAACTTTATTTTATGGTATCAAAGGGATAGATTAATCTTTCCACTTTGATTATGTATGTATAGCCGATTTTTCACACGCTTTTTTTTACGGAAACAGCGGTCTAATTGACCCTTCTAAATTAAGAAGTTTATATAAGCCGAGACAACTTTGGTAATTGGAATAAAATTTTAGTGGAAGAAATATATCACAGATGAACTGAATTTACACGGTGTTTTTGGAAAAAAATCGTATCATACCGCAAAATACCAGCAATATCGGTCGACCTACATTAATGTCGATCCGTATTTATTACAGATGAAAACAATGCACACTGTTAAGCAGTGCAGTATTTATTCGAACAATGTTGATAGCACAAAAGGATTTTTGAGACACATGCATATCTGCCACACTGATGATCGTTATGTTTCACCTACGTGTCCGTTTTGTTGTTCAAGTTTTAAATTTACCAACTGCAAATGATCCCAAGGAAAATGAGCACAATGTAATATAAGGCTAAAACGTTTTCTGGACACACACACACCGACAGATAACTATTTTGTAAGACCCTAGACTAAAGTCAAGGGAATAAATTCTTCAGACAGAAGAACAAAAAAGCGCGTGGTTGTTTTCTCACTCAAATAGTACGAACCAATCAGAAAAAAGAATAAGTTAGGGCCAAACTCAGTCCCAGCATTCAGTCCTAGCGTATCTTAACCCGATTTGGAGCGTTCAATATGAAAGGACCCACTGAAAAAAATAATCAAAATTTATGCAGGATCCCGCAGGTTATCGGTATTAAGATAACTGGCGATGTTTCTTACCTTTACGCAGGATTTTTATACTGCCAGCGCTGACAGAACCCTGCATAGTTTATGTAGGGTCAGCATGGAAAAACTCCTGCGTAAAGCTAAGAAACATCGCAAGACTTTTTGACTTATTCAATCCACAAGTTTTTTCCTACGAGATCTGGAGTAGAATGCTAGAAAATAAACGGGACGAAACAAGTATGGGACAAAATGAGACGGGACGAAATGAGAGTAATCCCTTGAATACTCTGTTGAATGATATATAATTTAAAAACATCGGTAAAACATCGATAAGTTATAGCTAAAAATATTAAGGTATACATTTTCCGGAAGTTTATTTGACATGAGAAAAGCTCTTATGACTTTACAAGAAAAGATGAAAAAGTACTTAAAATTTGCCAAAAATAAAAAATACAGACTTCCCCACGGTCATCCTGTACAGACATTGATGAGAAAAGATTACAGAATGTCGCAAGACAGACATGACGAATAAAATC